CTGTAATGATCCTGTAAAAAGAAAAAGTACATCTGTAAATGTGTAAACGTTCTATTGTTTTACGGTTTAGTTATATTTTACATGAAATTGTGCAAAGGATTTGAAGTTGAATGTTCTATTTTCTGATATTTGAAGATATTATAGAAGAAACGATATATGTTCTCATTTTTCATATTTATTTTAAATTTTATAATTCTTTGGTTAGAGCATTCCATTTTTTTTCCAATACTTTCATTAATATATTAGGTTATCCACTGAGTACAGACTCTCAGGAGAGGGCGAAAATTTCCCTGTATATAGTATTTCTAAACTATATGGGTCAATTTGGAATTTCCCGATCTATTTTTAATCAAGATGGAGAAATTTAATTCGTTTATTATATAGTATATTCAAAGTCCTTTTTGATCTTTTAGGCACGAACACTTTATAACACTCTGTATGCATAAAATTTTGTTTCACATTCCTGAAAGATCATAAGACACTTGACAAAATACATTTTCGTAACTATTGACTGATATCCAAAACCATACAACTTCGGATAAACACTTTATCCGTGGAACAGAAATAATGCATGTCCACCACAACTACCACAAAATGGCAAGCATAGTCAATCATTATCAGAAATTGTATACAACGGCATGTCCATATTTTCTATACAGTTATAATATTAGAACTTAATTCGGGTTTGGGACCTCTCACGAGTGTCAGACCCTGTAATACATGTATTCTCAAACTGTGCCCAAAACTCCGATTCAGGTGTCAGGTCCTCTTTCGTTGACGGTGCCGGGTGGCAATCATTTTTTTTCACATACCTCTTATACATGTATCACCATATCAATTACAACCCCGGCGACACACCGTACACTTTTTAGACAATTATCTATATGCAATCAAAATGGGGTTATGTAAAATCCATTTCAATAATTTAGAGACAATTTGACTGTAACGAACGAAATGCCCTAACCAGCCTCCGCCATGAGCCTAACATTACTTAAAAAGGAAGTCAAATCTACTACAGTTGCAGTTCAGGACCGCGCCAATTACGTGCGGAAGGACTTATAATTAGTCAATTAAATGAAGGTATTCATTATGCCACTATTTACAAGGACAAAATACAATAAAATAAATATCTGGTAAACAAAGTTGTATGTGAATTGCATGTCAATGGTTCTACCATTTACAAAATTACTCAAAGATTTTGTCACAGCCCATTAGATTCTGTCATGTCAGATTAAACCTACTATTTAAAAATTCGAAGGGTAAGGAGCCCGGCATTACAAAATGATTATACCATGGAGGCCAATTATCTTTCAACGCTTTTCCCCTACAATGTTAATCGGCAAACATGTTGCTGTCAAAAACGAAATACACCTCTAAACAAACAGCAAATGAGGGTTTTCACGCCACGCGTATGTGAGGGTATGAAGGATATGGAGATAAAGAACAGTATTCGAAGTCTAAGTTCATAGAACGATACAAAAATGGGGATAAGCAAATACGGACCTCCAAACTTTTAGAGGTGGAATCAGGTGATATGGAGGAGTGAGCTTTCAATGCTGACCTGTCATAATCAGGAATAACGAAAAAATCCGTCGTCAATTCAGCGTATGAATAATGGACTAACAATTTGTATGAAAAACGTCAGTCGGCATTTGACTCAACGATAAATTGTATTTGCTGATAAGGTCATTGTATCGACCATAGAACTAACGAAATCATGACTTTAAACGAGACCACTGATATTCTTCTTTTATCAATTTTTAGTCAATAAATTACCTCATATCAGAAATTGTTCAGAGGTGGAAATTGCTCTTGGATATCGAATCAACTGAAATATATGAACACCGTATGCAGGTGATGAAGTTATATTGCTGCATAAGTGAGGGAAGTTGACTATAGAAAAGTTAAGGTCATCACGTTTATCGCTTTAGAGCTTGTTTGTTAGATTACTATTAATATTTTTTTAAGAAAGTATGAAACAAATGTGTCAGACTTTGCTCTATCTTTTATATCAAACACAAATCGTTTCTATATACATGCGGGTATGGAAATTACCATTGTTCATTGACAATGCGTCGTCAATATATCTATATGTTGGGTTGGACGCCATATCGGGCGTTTCTTCTTCACACACATAAGACTTTGCTCAAATTCAGCTTCATATAAATACAAAAATAAGACTGCTTATAACGAAGCGCCATTAGTACTCATGGAAATTCCGATAGATTGGTAGAAGACATGGTTACTAACATCTTTTTAAGCCCAGAGTTTCTGATCCGCTCTGCTCCACATAAACCTCTGACCGAATAGACTAAATTTGACGGGGTTTAATATCGCGCAATTTAGCAAGATTACACATTTGAACTCTACTGATCTCTGCTTTTTACAAATCAAAGTAAGTGAATTAAAAAGCGACAAAGGTAAAAACGTATTTACCAGAAAAGGTCCGCCCTTTTCTTTTTTTTTAGATATCTTTATGCTATAAAGGGTAATTTTTGGACAGGGTTTATTTTCGTAGCTTAAAAACTAGATAAAGAGACAGAGCGTACTTTAAAACACAGTTATCAGAAAAGGTCCGCCCTCTGTAATTCAGATATCTTTATATTTTAAAGGGAAATTTTGGGACAGGGTTTATTTTTGTAGCTTAAAAACTAGAGAACAGTTTTGGGCGGACCTTGAGTACCAGCTCCGTGTAAAAATCATGCAGATAGTACAGAAAATGTGATTCATCGATAATCTTCAAATTCAATAAAATTGGGTTTAATATATTCATTTAGGTCTAAAATGAATATAGACAGTTGATTTTGTTATAATTCTTCTTTTTTCATATAGCTAGGGATAAAGTAATTGATGCGTAATTTTGTATAGATAGTGTGCAAATACTGTCTTTTTCAGAAAAGAATATCTTTAAAACCCAAGAAGATGTACAAAAACTTTTAAAATATACTGACACGCAAAAGAAACGCAACACCCTACTTTAGGGTGAAATAATTATGTAAAGTAAAAAAATTATATCTTAAAATTATGGATATCTTCAAATTGGTAAATATCGGTAATTTAACGGTTGAACGATTTTCATACCATAACCGGAAGTCAAGTTTGAGTCTGCATAACAGAAATCAAAAATTGCATGTTTCACAAAACAGTTAGCAATATTATGGAGATATAAGGGTTTATACTGTTCATCTTAAGTAATGCAGCAATATTTCAAAAAAAAATAAAATCTCCTTTCGTTTCCCGTAACGATGCTAAAGCTTCTTGAAAATGGCTTAAGTGCGCATTTCCATTGCTCTAGCTGGAAAATCTCAAAATAAAGGTGATGGAGAGTTGATGATGCAAAAATACACTACATTACGTCTCAACGGGGTCTTACATACATGTATTATATTCATAAATGATAGTACGTCTTTGGACCGGAAGTCCAAGGGTTACTACAATGCGCTAGGTTAGAGAAAATTCGACCTAATCATCTGAAAAACAGGCATTTAAAAATGGTAAAGAATAATACCTTCGCTCAGATCTAAATATTGCTTAACCTATCGTATCGTAGAAAGTAAGCTGCTAATGCTGTTTAGGACAGTCTTGCACGTTGTAATTGAGTTGCTGGAAGGGGGGTGTTTTAAAAGTCATATCTTAATTAGTAAAGTTAAAAGATATACATTTAAAATTTTTATCAAATATCTGATGTTCTGAAAAGTGAGTTTAGCCTTACTGTTTTCTTTTTTAAAAATCATTCGATAAAAAATTCAAACACTTGTAGATTACTGCTTGTTGCGTTTCTTTTGCGTGTCAGTATACATAATTAAAGTGAAAATGGAAGGCTTAATAAAAATTTACTTTAATATTTTTGTGCAAACGAAGTATTGAAAAGATACAAGGTGTTTAAAATCGAGAATTTGTTAAAATTCTTCAAATGAGTTATCTCCCTTTGCAATTTTACATAGGTGGCGCTAGTTTAAAAAATGGCAGCCTCCATGGTTAGCTGTACGCTGCAAAGTTATTTTGATGCATCCGGTGATGTTTATTGCAAAACTATGTGTGAAGTAACATAAATTAGGGCATAGTTGAAAGGATTTTAAAAGAACAGATTAGGCATAGTTTTCGGGCAAAATTATAGCCATGTGTCGTGTTGATTAGTATATTGACCATGTTGACGTTCTCCCGAAATGGTACTCGCCAATTGACACCATTGTGATCTATCTCAGAAGTTTAACTTCTACGGTAATCCACCAGAGTCCAAGAGTAAACTCTCAGAGAGGGGTGGCAGTCCGATTTTGTCAGCTTACTCGAGTTGGAGATGGAAGATAATGTACATTTGGACAATAACATTTGACCAGGTAAGATCCGGTCCAGAACAATTTCTTGATTAAGATATTAATTTTGTAGCTATGTACCTTTGATATGTTGACGGTGCGATCGTTAAGGCGAGCGCATATACTTATCCATTTTCATTTAGATTGGACATGTAAATCCGCAGGTGACATTCGGTGCGTATTAGACTCTGACGTCATATGACGTCGTTTGTATGTTGCTTTACCAAACCGAAGTCTGAACAAAGCTGATTTCAATCAGTTTATGACTATCTTTCTGCAATTAACAGATAAATTCATAAAATCAAGACAAGTTTATTATTCGTTTAACTTTTGTTGTTATTCTCATGAGAACGTTGCTTTAGAGTTTGTGTACAAAGCGATGCATTGTGGGTCAAAATTACTGCGGTAAAAAATTCTATGGAATGAATGTGCAGTAGTCCGAATTTTCTCTTTGCCCAGGCGTTGTCATCAGAGCTCGCAGTTACGTCCATCGCTTTGCGACTCTCGCTGCACTTGCTATTAATTTATTCAAAATACCTTGGTAAAACTTTTTATATGCAGTCAAAAGTATTTTTTTAAGTCCTATATGACAATGTATTATGAGTCTTTTAAAAAAAAAACCAAGATCACAGATACTTGTAGCATTACAGCTGTTGAATACTTTCAATTAAGCAAAAGATGAATTTCCATTTTCTTTACAGCTCGGATACACGTCCGTTAATGGAAGGAAATTTTCAGCTCAATGTTTTTGTCTCTAGCAGAGTTTCCGAAAACCAGATATTTCTATCAGTCATTCAGACTGATAACTTAACGTTTTCTACCAGTCCGAAGCATATTCTATCAGTCCGAATAAATTTTAAAATATACAGTGTATTTTTCATGTCAGATGTAATTCAAAGAAAATGGAATTGAATATGTAAAAAAAATTGTGGCTCACAAACACTGATTGTGATACATGTACCAGGGTTATGCAACTATGATTAATTCAAGCATGCAGGCACCAGCTCACACTGGCTTGTGGCAGCAAAAAAGTACCGGTAACTAGCCCCAAGTAAATGTTGGGGGAAAGAAACAACTAATTATAAAAAAGTTGATTCCTGAGAAAGAAAACTTATCAAGGTTTCTAGAATTTTTTTTAAAATTTAAATTAAAATCAACCGCCTGACATGCACAAATTTTGTCACAGGCAAACAGATTTGTAACGGATTACAGATTTTACACCGACTCGACATAAAAAACTTTTCAAAAACTTGACCTTGGTCATGACTTTTGAATAAAATATAAAGGGCTTTTCTCATTGGGATTCAAAACCAAGGCGCACATGGATCTTAAAAATCAGATAGAAAACTAATCAAAACTTGGAATGGTTTAAGTAACAATCTTTTAAAATCTTCTCAAGAACAGCAAAGTGATGATATGGAAGCATTCACTGGTGATGTAGTGTATAAATAAATTGGTTAAGTTAAACCCCCTTTGTTTGGGTAGGATGGGGCCACAATGGGGATCAAAGTTGCAATATATAGGGGAGAATCTCCCCTTAGACCTGCAAAGCCATGATTAATATTGTACTGATATGGAAGTCATTGGAAGAAGCCTCAAGTAGTTTAGATTCAAGTTTATAATGCTGTTTAAATTGTACTAAAGTTAAAACTGGAAAAATATTGTAAATCATGTAAATGATGAAAAATACACTAGTACAAAAGATATTTCACATACAGCAAAACTCGTTTACTACGAACATGGATATAGTGAATTCACGGATATAGCGAAGTTATTTTAGATCCCCAGCTATATAAATCTAACGAATTCCTTATATGGATATAACAAGTAATGGATGTAGCGAAGTAATTTCATAGGTCCCGGTGACTTTGTTATAATTTTGTTTTACTGTATTTCATAAATTAGTATAATAATTTTTTTAGATGAATTATACCCCATTTTATTTTCACAGAATGTACACGATGGGCTGCATCATAGTTTTGAAGGAAAAGGTTACTCTATTTATTACAGACAGCAAGAAAACATCATTGAACACCACCAACTAATAAGACTCCAAAGGTGGGAGAATATATGTCATGCAACCATTTATAGATTTTTAATGAAATTACTGCATTATATAAACTTGATATTCCATGTAAAGTAATTTATAAAATCAAAAAAAAACATTTAGTACCTTAATAATAATGTAGCATAAACTAAAGAATTCTAAATTGATGAATGATAAGTACATGTACATGTATATTGTAATTTTCATTTTAGGAATAATGGAAAATAAGATATTTAAAGCTGTCAAAAAGCAGAGATTAGAGTTCAGTGGATTCCATGACGGTACTTTGGATAATGTTAATCAGGTAGC